TTAATAGGATTCTAGCCACTGGGTTGTGGAGAAATAAAGTCAGTTCCTGGTTGACTGGACATGGCAACAAGGAAAGTGTATTTTCAAAGCTCACCAAGAGAAGGGAAGGATCCTTTGCTGGTTGTGATTTAGTCCCCTCCATATACAGCCATGTGATTGCAGGAGAGATGCTATGTTTTGTTTATTTTAATAATGTAAGCCACCTTGGATCGTTTTAAGGAGAAAGGTGCCATATACATATTTAAAATAAATAAACAAACATACACTGTATCTATCTCAGATACAAACTCCTGTGCATATATGTGCATATGTATCCGAAGCTTCCAAATGTTTAACATACTCAAAAAAAAAATTTATAGCTCTATTTGAAAACAAAACAATAGCCAAAAATAAAAAATAGCTGAGGGAGAAAGGAGTGGTTCTTAAGAAGCCCATTTTTCATGGAATATACAGGAGAAAATGAACACTTGAGATCCATTAAGGCTCATGCCTCTATCCTGCAGTGTCTTCCTGGTACAGCCTCATCCTCTGACTCAGGCACAGAGTTACCTTTTCCTAGGTGTTCAGTCTTATGGACCCTTGAGTGTCACATTCATCCCCTTATTTCAGGTTTTAGTGGTGGCTGATCCTCGCTGGAGGACTTGTCCAGCAGAGACCATATCACCTGCTGTAGTAACACATAACATGTTCTGGTAGGGTAGATCCACAATATGTGCTCACTCTTTCAAAAGGACGCTATCCAAAGGACCCCCTTGGAGTTGATGGACAAGTTTTTTATTCCCATTATTTCACAGCGCCCAAGAAGGTCACTATCCTAGACTTGAGGGGTGTGAACTCATACATAGAGACAAAGACCAATCCAAACTCGATCTCTCTCTCAACCAGTTCTGGCCAAACTGAAACTTACAGCATAAAGAATTCTCCAATAATAAAACACATTGTTCTCCAAGCCAGGAAACCATTCACTCAGTTGAATTATACATGTAAGTGGAGAAAGCCTGTGAACTTTTCATGTCTATCACCTAGTCTCCATACTGCTCTGTGCCTCCTTTTAGATTTGATAGCGCTAAGCCTATCTCATTTACCACTTAAAGCATATCTTCCATAAGGTAAAGGTAAAGTTTCCCCTTGACAATTTTTCTCCAGTTGTGTTCGACTCTAGGGAGTGGTGCTCATCCCTGTTTCCAGGCCATAGAGCCAGCGTTTGTCCGAAGACAATCTTCCGTGGTCACATGGCCAGTGCGACTTAGACACGGAACGCTGTTACCTTCCCACCGAGGTGGTCCCTATTGATCTACTCACATTTGCATGCTTTCGAACCGCTAGGTTGGCGGGAGCTGGGACAAGCGACAGGCGCTCACTCTGTCGCGTTGATTCGATCTTACGACTGCTTAGTCTTCTAACCATGCAGCACACAAAGGCTTCTGCGGTTTAACCCACAGCGCCACCACGTCCCTTATCTTCCATAGTAGCACCCAATCCAAAGGTTTCTCAACTTCTTGATTTTTCTGACATTCCACCCTCAAAAAGAGAATTTGAGAAACATTTAGGCTGATGTGCAACCTCCTTTGTCACGGTGATCATTCCTGCGGGTCCTTCATCAAATCACAAGACCTCCCCTTGAAACTTTGGCAGCATCAGATCTTAAGCTCCTGCCATTCAAGTCTCTCTTTCTTGTTGCCATAACCTCATGTTGGAGAGCAACTGAGCTTGCTGTTCTTAAGACAAGATCCACCTTTCTTACAATTTCACTGGGATAAAGTCACTACCTTCGCGGACATGGCCTTTCTACCTAATATGGTGCAATATTTTCATCTGAATCAGCCCCTGGTAGTGCACAATTTTTTGCCTTGTCCAATTTCAGAGGTGGAAAGATTCCTTCATACTTTTGATGTTCTATTGCCCTTGTGTTCTACCTCTCCAAAACCAAGCATTTCCGAAAATCAAACAAGGTGTTTATCAGCTACCAAGGACCTAAAAAAGGTGAGCAAACCACTTCTCGTATTTTGAAATGGATTGCCAACACCATTATATTGGCGTACTAGTTAGTTTAAAAAGGGAGAAGAAAAGGCAGCCCTTGCAGTTTCATACAGAACAGTATATATATATGGCTTGTTCCCATCTTTGAACAAAAAAGAATGTGATATTTGAAGTGACCTTGTGAGAGGCCATGTATTGTTAATGAACCACCATTAGAAAAACATTTACTTAATTGATTTTTCAGCCCCAGACATTTGTAGTTGCGTGGAATTAGGTATAAGCATTTTTATTCTACTTAACTTACTTTGTTTTTTGTTCATAAAACAAGCATATGCAGAGGTACCTGATCTTATTCCAGGAACAAATCAATTAGGATTGCTCAGAATGAATTTTTAGAACTTTTAAGAAATATGATCTGTTTACTATGTGCTTCAAAAGTGGACAAAGAGAGAGCAAAGAATACTTGGCTTTACTGGAATCTTTGAATTGAGTATTGTCAGTTGGCACTAATTTAAAAGATAAAACCTTTTTCTAAAAAAAAGAGGAAGAGTTAGCATATAGCCAATTACTTATATTTCAGGCCACAAATCCCAGGTCTCCTTTTTATTTTAAACTTGCATCATGAAGCAGTGCTACTGTGAACATAGAAAACAATTTAACAATGCCACTGCTGCAAGCATAACTGTAACCAAGCAGTGCTACTGTGAACATAGAAAACAACAATGCCACTGTTGCAAACATAACTGTAACTGTCATGACCTGCTCTACCATTAGGCACAGCAAGGCAGGCAGTCCCCCAGGCAGTTGATTTGGGGTGTATTGATGGGACATTAAAAAGTTATTTAATTTGTTATTATTGAAGTTTTACCACTTGCAAAAGTTCTTCTTGTGTTGAGATATTATTACCAGCTCTAGATGTACCTTGACTGGGTATGTGTCATCATTTGCTGCTCAATTTCAAGGAGCAGTGTCATGAGTCAACAATGTGTTGGAGCACTATACTGTAGGTGTGATCAGGCAGACATTTCTTTGTCCTGCGGTGACAGGCTGATTCACTCCTTTTTCTGTCAATCACACAATGTACAGTAATTGCTGGAGGGAATCGGCTTTGTTCCCAGAATGTTCCTACCCACACCTTTTTGGGACCCTTACATTTTTTATGCAGGTAAAATTGCTCTGTTTGGTTCATATCAAGTACATGAAATCACTGGAAATAAACCAAAGTGAGCTTATGGCTATCAATTGGCCAATATTGTTAAGTGGCTTAAGAATAGAGCTTACCTATTTCATGATATTTGGAAATTAGACATTTTCTCTGCTATGTGGAAAGACAGAGTAAAAGTTATTTAAAAAACAACTGTGCTCTGATACATTGGTGCACTGCATCATTTTTAAAAGAAAAAAAAATTGAAAACTTCCCCCCAGAAGTGAAAGGAGACAGGCAGGTGCAACGAGAGGGAATTTTGATATGGCAACATACAGAGATTACAGATAGTAAATAGGGAAATTAAATTTTTTTCCCTGTACTCCTCCGTGATGTGGGCAAATCCATGCTGTCTCCTAGAATATCCCAGCCATCATGGCCAGTTCCTGTGCCACCTGGGTTATTCTGGGGGTTTACCCCATCTCTGCTGCCCAGTAAGTGTGCACCAGATTCTGGACATCGGTGATACCTCTCTCTCTCTGCCCCCACTCTATCTATGGACAGCAGGCTAGAGGGATGTAAAATAGGAATATGGCAAACTCAGCTCTGTCCCCTACCACTTCGTTTCTATTGTCTGTCTGCCCAGCATGTGAGATAAAGACCAGGCTGCCAAGATCAGAGCACTTAGTGAACAAATCTAAACAGTATTCTTACTCAAAAGAAATCCACTCTTGACTTTGGTAGATCTTACTTTTTGAGGCTCCAGTCTTACACATTTACTGATACTTATTTCTTCCAAGTGGATTCTAGAAATAGTTAGGGTGGTGTTCTTAGGTTACCACTCTGTATTTGAAGAGAGAAGTATAAAGAAACCATGGTAAAAAATAGTATTTCCCTTTTGAAGGGAAAATGTATGTAGAAAAAAACCATAGAAAAATCTATATAATGGTATACTTGTACTTAAATGAGAAAACCAAATAAATAAATGAAAAAGAAAAGGAATTCCTTTAACTGCACATAAATAAGAAAATAAAGTAAACAATTCTCCTTGAATTTATTATAATGTATTTCCAAATAAACACATTGGACTGCTGTCAGTGTGCGGAATGTGAACAATCCGTTTATTTTCTTGTAACAGAGTAACAGGATTAACTCTGTCTAGAAGTTTTATTTACTTATTTGATTTGTACCTCACCTTTCTGTCATTGAAAGACAAGCTCAGTTCGAAAATACAGGGGACCAAACATATTCTAGTGAGGAGAGGATACAGGGTTGGCTGTAATACTTTTGACACAGTTTTGTCCATGTCTACTCAAAAGTCAGTTGAATGGACTTGCAGAAGTCTTAGTAACAGGCACATTAATGCCATCTTCCGTTTCCAGTTTTTTTTTTAAAGAACAAAATAAAGCTCTGTCGGTCCATTTGTTTCTAATAGTCTTATTACAGTCTTGTTGATATTTGTCCACTGGGTAAGAAACCAAAGCTCTCTAGATACGAGAAGGTTCTTTTTTGTGATCAGTTTCTAGAATCCCCCAGCCAGTCAACACGTTGGATGAGAAAGTCTAGGAGTTACAATTCAAAATTTAAATTTTCCACGCTTCGGAGTTTTGCAAGTTTGGAGTTGAACTTACTTAAGTGAAACAAGCCGCAGTGCATGCGCACGCCCGTGTGTGAGACAACGGTTTTCTCCCGTCCTTTCCTGAATGTGGAGCATTATTCTCATGACTTACAGCGGACGGTGAAAAGGTTTGACGGCAGTAGCTAGCTCTGCATGCTGCGAGCGAACAAGAACTTGGACCACGAGAGCGCTATACAGTGTTGATAAATTGGTTCGCTATTAGTAAGGTACCCTTTAATTTTTGTAGTGGGGGGTTTGTTCGCCGCAAAATAAGCCAGGCGCGTGAAGCAGGACACAGTCCCCTTCCTTTCAGCCCAGGAGCCGGTTGTTAAGCGCCTCGAAGCGAGCGTCCCGGTGAGCGCGGAACAGAACGCAGAAAAATCTTTCTCTCCTGGATCGGCGGGCTTTAAGACCCGGCAGAAACCTGGGAGCGCGGAACGTGGAGCATGCGTGGGAACGATACGTGTGTGCAGCAGCTGGCGGCTGCCTTTCGCTGAGCCGCCTTTACAGCTCCGGGCTGGGAAAAAGGAGGCGGGGGGGAACGGGGCAGAGTTGGCGAGTGCGGCGCTTGCCCAAGCAGCCCTTTCTGCTTCCCTTGGATCTGGAGGAGGATCAGCTGGGAAGTGGCTGCGTTTCCACCGGGCGCTTCGTCGTTTGATTCGGATCAGTCAGCCCGGGGTGGGGCAGGAGAACCAGTTTGGAGAGGAGAGAAAGGGTAGCCCACGCGGGGGAAGCGGGGTAAGTGCCTCACTGCCCCCAGAACCACCGATCGCTTCTGCCCCCCTTCCCCGAGCCCGGGGAGGGGATCGCGGGGCTTTTGCCGGGCGGGCGCGAGCGAAAGGGCGGCTGCTCTCCACCATTGCCCGGTGGAAGGGACTTTGCTGCCTCCTCCGTTTCTAGCTCGGGGGGAAAATGACTCAGAGCTGGGGAACATCCCCGAAGAGTGGCGGGATGGAGGTGTTGAACTGCACGGAACGGACGAGGGCAAAGAAGCAAGCGGCATGACTCTTGCCTCCGCGTGCAGGCAAAAGGAGAGAAAGGGGGGGAAAGGAAGGGGATTGGGAGTTGCAAAAGTTTGCAGTGTTTTAAACGGACTTCTCTCAATGTGAGCTTCCGTGGGTCAAAATCTTCAGGACACCTTGTCCCACGGAAGCTCACACAGAAATAATTCAGTCTAGGGCAGCAATATTTTGCTATTTTCCCCCTCCCTCGAATACGGGGGGTAAACAAGTGGCAGGCTGTTCCCCTTGGGCTGCCACAGCTGGACGCCACCCACAAGACTCGCGCCGGTCAATTCTGTCATTTTTAAAACTCATTTTCTCCCACAACGTTCACCCTAGTCCCATTCCAAAATCCGCTTTTCTTTTCTTTTTCTCTTCTTTCCTCTCTCTTGTTATTTTGGCTTTTTAAAAAAACTTTTAAAAAGAGTTTCTAAAGTTTGAGCGAGACTGGGAAAAAGCAACAGGTTCTCGTCGCCTATCTCAGCCCCCTTTCCCCAATTACTCTCTTCTTAACTATATCTCTGAAAGGTTTTGGGAAGAGTATGTTGTCTCCTCCCCCCCCCACCTCAGATGCCTCCTTTCCACCCTTGTGCGGTGCGCACACCTGCAAGGCGGTGCATGAGTACTAACAATGCCAAGTTTTCCCACCCTTTCCAAGCAGGTGTGAGTATTCAGAGCAAGGGTTGTGCGAGAGGGTGAGAACAGCGCTCTCCCCCCATTAATGAAATGTGAGGTGCAAGGGCAGTGTCTGATGTCTTGTGAATGGCTGTCAAAATAAAATACTTTCCGCCTCATGAATTTTAGATTGGAAAAAAAGGACATCCTGTGTTGCTGCAAAGGAGGACCTTTCTGGTTTTGGTTTAGGTTTTAAAGCCTTTGATCAGTTTGTGTGCCCTTCAGCACAAATTCCACTTGAGGTGAAGTAGAGGTAGCTAGAAGCAGGCACCCTGTTTCCCTGAAAATAAGCCCTAGTATGATTTTTCAGGATGCTCGTAATATAAGCCCTACCCCAAAAATAAGCCCCTGTTAAGTGAAACCCCGCCCTCCACCCTTGTGCAGCAACCAGGAGATGACATGACTGTATTTGAAGACTGTATTTTCATGTTGCACATGAAAAAAAAAACATCCCCTGAAAATAAGCCCCAGTGCATTTTTGGAGCAAAAATTAATATAACACCCTGTCTTATTTTCGGGGAAACACGGTAGCACAATAGCTTTGGGAAAATATCAAGGCATTGACATTTTTCTTCCTGTCTTGCAGTGGTTTTCCACTTGCACTCATTTGCTTTCCTTCTGCAGCCACCAATGGAATAATTTTCCTTTCTTTCTGACTTGCCATCCCCTTTTAATTATTGATTTTATTTTTGCAGATTGCTAAAGTTTGCTTCCTCCGAGGATGTAGTGAATTAGAGGATGGGGCTTTCTGCTCACAATGGCCAGAGAAGACTCGGTGAAGTGTTTGCGTTGCTTACTCTATGCCCTCAATCTGCTCTTCTGGGTGAGTTACCACATCCTTCTTTAGAGAAGCAGGTGGCATCTGCCCAGCTCAAATTACAGGCCTCCAACACCATCAAATATTGCACCAAAAGGACACAGCTAAGCATGTATTAAGCATGGATTACTCTGCTGTTTTTCCCCCCCTTTGCCCTCTATATAGAGAAAAAAAGTTGATCCCTGTAGCCTACAGCAGGCTGCCTTAAGGACTACAATTGAATAGTTAATAGAGATGGAGGTATTTGTATTCATATACGAATATGAATATCCTTGCGCAGCTGGTGTTAATGAGAGTTTGGCCTCTGGGGCCAGACTGTCCACTCATATGTCCTCCGCTGCTGTCGGCTTCACTCATCCTTCCAGTCGCTGTTCTCTTCCCCATCGTCTAGCCACTCGTGGTAGAGGGAGGGAGGATGAGTCTCCCTGCAAGCCTGCTGAGTGGCTAGCGAAGCGGCGCTCAGGAGCGATTGGAAGGGAGAGAGGGGCCGCCGGACGGTCTGGCCCCAGGGGCCGGACCCCCATTAAATCCAGTTGAGTGGGAATATTTGTATTCATATACGAATACCCCCATATCTAATAGTTAATAAACATAGATTGGAAATCTCTGTTTCCAAATCTATGCAGTGGAAATGAAGTTAGCTTTTCCCTTGCATTTGGATTGGTAAGGAATAAGTGCGGGCCTGGATTTATTGTCTCTACAGAGGGATATCAGTAAGCATGTTTCTGTGGGATATCCTTTCTGATGTTGGCAACTGTACTGATTAATTATCCATCAAAAAAGAACATAATTCATTTATGTTATTGGGGTTGCAGCAAAGAAAAAAATAGCTGTGCCTGTAGAAAACAGTGCCACCCTAAAAGCAACTTTCATTGTTTTCTCTGCATTATCTGTCTAAAGATTTTTAGCACAGAGTACATGGGGCATTTTAATACGAATATAAACTGCCCAGTCAGTTAAGGCCACAGCTTGGAAAAAGTTCAGCTGTAGCTCTGAAAATATGGGGATTCTGGGAGTTATAGCCCCAAATTAACTTTTTCTTAGCTGTAGATTGTCTTCAGTACTCCTGAGTAGATATGTAAATTAGAGATGGGGGCTTCATATTTGTATACGAATATGAAGACCCCTGGCACAGGTGACCAGCTTGATTACCTCCCACCCCCAGACCCCGCCAGACCACTTATTGCACGGTGTGTGTGACCGGCATCATCACCAGCACGCCAGTTGCAGCAGTAGCTTGGCTACCACTGTCCTGCCTCACTGCTCCCCCAGCCACTCTGACAAGTTTCTCTGCTTAGCCATGGAGTGGCTGGGCAAGCAGGAAGGCATGGCTGTGGCAACTGAGCTACTGCTGCGATTGGCACACTGAAGAAGATGTTGGCCACGCATACGAATTTTACCATCCTGTGAGAGGGTGAGGTGTTTTATGATACAATCAAAGAGAATCAGAATTTTTCTTTTGTGCATATTAAGTAAAACAGCACAAATATCAATTTAATGCTTTAACTGATCTAATCCGGAATGTACAAACTGATGGTATCTTTTGCTTTGCTGTGTGGGCTTGTAAAGATGTGAAACACTGGAGTTCTGTTTACTGTATTAGCAAAGTTATAATCGACCAGTAGTTTTGTGCTTGCTGGATGTGTTGCACTTGTCAAAGTGAAAAGGCGCTAGTGTACTGAAAAGACACTATGTGCAAATTACAGAGACCATGATGACTCCTCGTTTTATCCTTATATGGAGCCAAGGAATATTGCAGGTCTTGAAAATTTCTTTGTCTTGCCAAGTTGAGAAATCTTATATTGGGAGAAGCAAAGAATTTAGCAAGTGTTCTTTAAATCTGTCATTTTGAACAGCTAGCAAAGCCTGAAGGGGCCTTCAGGTCTTGGCCCTTCCCCTGCCCCCTACACCCAGTGGCTATTGCTAGCCTATAACTGGATGACGCTGGTGTGAGAAGCACACTCCTCAGAGTCAGTTTTCGGAATTCTCTTCAGACCAGTTCTGTGACTGGCAGGATTTACATTTGAATTAATGTTACTCAAGTATTCTGAAACAGAAAAAGGCTTTAAGTGTTTTGTGTCGAAAGCATGGCTGAAATCCTCTTCCGTAGGTTCTATTGTGTAGGGTGACAATATCAGTCCCAGTGATTGTTTTGGAATTAACCTTTTCCAACCCTCCTCTTCCCTCCCCCCAGCCCTGAAGGTCCTAACTAGACATGGGGACAGATATAAAAATGAATTGCGATATTCATTGATAATTGTCAGATATCCAGCCCTTTGTATTTGTTAGTTCTAGAGACCCGGATGAATACGAAGGGATGAATGTAACAGTTCTATATACGTTCATTCATAGGGGATTCCGTCTCTGCCTATATTCCCGTGGATCAGCTGTTCCTTGGGGGATAGGCAGAGGGGGAAGGCTAGGCTGCTGGAAAGGAACCCTGGCTGCTTTTAGCAAAGACAGTGGCGGAGGCAGCCAGCCAGGCTTACCCTAGGAGCCCACCAACCAGCTGATCAGCAGGCACATAGATAGCCTGGCTGCTTGAAGGGAAGCCCCTCCGCTATCTTTGCCATGGACTGTCTAAAAAAAACCCCAAAAGTACCAACAAACCGATTCGTGGTTTGTTGGTTCACCGTGGGGAAATTCCTTGGTTCATCAACTTTGTCGAACCAAGATAAACTGCCATTTTGCTGATTTGTCCCCATTTCTTGTCCTGACCCTCCTGTGGAATTCCTTTTCTCCTTAAGGAAGCTGCAGGAGGCTATGAGATGTAGGAGGAAGTATTCAATAATTGAAAATCGCCACCAGTCAATCACTGAATACCCCATCCAGCATGTCGATCCTTTTTTGAGGGTTGATTAATATATTTCCATTCTTTTGGTAAGGCATGGTTGGCCAATTACATTAAGAGGTCTGCTTGGTTACCTTTATTGTTGGCATTTAGATCCCAGGCAAAGATCAGATTACTATTCTGTACCTTTGTCTATTTCCTAGGTTGGTCTGTTTTTCATAGTTTCAAGTATCGTTTCTTCTTCTTCTTTTTTAAAATCACATGACAGTTAATGGTGATTTTATTGTTTAAATATGTCTTCATTGCTCTTATTTTGTAATCTTCTGTGAATGGAGACATGTGGGATAGAAAATATTTTCATAAATCAAATAAATATTTCTACTTGAAGGTTCCATAAAAAGATAAAATTTGATGCTGTTCAAAAAGTAAAAGGTATTTTTATTTTAAGATGAACTCAGATGGGCATCTGGCAAAATCAGTGTAATTAATATATTAGTGCCACTAATGAACTTTTCTAGGTATTTGCTGAAATGTGAGGATTGTGATCACTTATTTTAAATTACTACGGGTATTAAACACTTGTCAGTTAACTGCTTAACAGCGCTTCTCATATTATCCTTGCAGCAACCTACTATATTGTATGAGAGGAAAGAGAAAAAGGCCTTGGCAAGGCCACACATACGCCTTGTGACTCTGAAGAGATATTGTTATCCGTATTCTTGTCTACAAGCTCTGTGTACTACTGCTTTGGTCCATGGAGTATATAAATGTACAACAGCTATGCCAAATTGGCTACATAAGCTAAAAAATAACCTGTGTGTGTCCATGGCAGTTCATTAATAACAGTAGCATCAATATAGTCATTAAAAAGATCTTGTAAAAATCCACCTTGGTATCTAAAGTGGATCTTTAGTGTTCTAGTCCAGTGCTCTAGTCACTGCATACTTAAGTTGAACATTCAATTTTATTATTAAAATTTCAGATTTTGTGTTTAAAACCAGACAGAGCATGAGGAAAACCTGTTCAGTCTCTTGAGTGGTGTTTGTTATGTTATGCGTGTCCGAGTTGTTCCTTAAACATTTTTGTATTTTATGTGTGCTAGGTGATGGGCAGAACCTATATATAACATATGGTCCAATACAGAATGCTGTAATTCTTAACAAATAATAATTTGGCATATTCATGAAAATTACCATGTTCTCAAACATTTTGTGTTAACATGGCTAGAAGTTTTTCAGTCTTCCCCTGTCTTTTGGTGGCAACCCTTCAAAGCTGCTTTCACGATCAGTGACTGTACTGTAATGTGCCTTGTACGAGGTACAGAGGGATATATGGGGCAGTGTATCAGAACCTAACCATGCATGCACGGAACTGCATTTTCCACATGCACAAGCTTTTCTGGATTCTGGCTACCCTTTCAGCCTTTGATGGTTCTAATCTTCACAGAGACGTTTAAGTCTGAGATGCCCATGCTTGGATCAAGAAAACCTCCAAGTTATTTCTAAGTCATTTTCTGTTACTGTTCAGCGACATTCCCTTTTGGATACTGCTGCCAAGTTTTATATGTCTTTAGTGTAGGGCGTATATGTCCTTGATGTGCCCAGCTGCTATGCCAGTCAAGTTTTCTCTTCCTGGAGAAAATAAACAGTCATTGTGCTCTTCAGGCTGCAGTCCTAACTTGACAAAACAAGGTGGAACCAGACAGTTGATCCATGTAACCTAGTGCTGTTGACAGTGACGTGGCGCCTTTCCACAGTTCTAGCCTTTTCCCACCTGGGAATGCGAGTACCGAGACCTGGGATCTTGAATATTTGAAGGGTACACTTCCTTGAGTTCAATGGAATGGAATGTGTTATTATTTTTATGTCTTATCTTTATTTCAGTGAGCTCAAGCTGGCATATATTGCTCTCTTCCTCCCTACTTTATCCTCACAACAGCCCTGTAAGTTAACTCAGGCTGTGAGAAAGTGACAGACTCAGGGTCATCCAGTGAGTTTCATGACTCAGTGAGAACTTGAATCTTAGCTTCTAGTTCACTGCTGTGCCTAGTGCACCACACTGGGTCTTTATGCTGAACTAGCATTAGGAAGAGGCTTGTATCCCAGCAAAAAAAAAGATTTTCTGGCAGCGTGTATAAAAAAAAAAAAAAAAAAAAATTCCTGGCAGCGTGTGTATCACTAGTCTAAAAGTGCAAAGATCAGTGTATCACTAGATA